CGGATACCGATACCGATACGTAATATCGGATACCGATACCGATACGTAATATCGGATACCAATATGTAATACCGGATATCGATATGTAATACGGGATACCGATACCGATACGTAATACCGGATACCGATACCGATATGTAATATCGGATCGGTACATCTCTACTTTAAAGTAAACTTTTCTTTAATATCTTGAAGTTCAAGTTTTACTGCCTTCCTCTCTGCTTTTTGTCCACACTCTTATAACCTTCCCTTACTCTGTTCTCCATTAATTTCTCCATTCAAGTCCATTTTCAGTATTTATTTTCATGTTTCAATGTCTCCTTGATTTAGTACTGGTTGCTCATTGCCTTTTTTAGTTATGTCTTTATTTGGGTTTTGATATGCTACTGTTTGGTTGTCCTCAGCTGTGTTAATTACATGCACCCACATCTTGTTGCTCAGGGGTGTCTAATTCCCACTTAACCCTCTGTTTGCATATTAAAACAACTAATTAAAAGAAAACCTTGTGCCGGTTTAGCTCAGTGGGTGAGCAGGCAACCGTATGCCGTATGGCTGGAGAGCAGTAGGCCCAGGTTTGCATCTCTTCTCCTCTTTCTCATCCTGCTTTCACATCTATCAACACCGTCTCTATCCACTAAAGGTAAAAAAAACCCCGACATTTTTGTGAATCTTCAAATCAGCTATTGAAGTTCATCTTTTTTAAAATCATTTCATGTCCTGTAATCTGTATTTGAGTCTTTGAATCCATGTTTAAAATCTGTTTTTCTGTCCAATGCCATACTTTTTATTATATATATTTTTTGCATTTCCACATTTTTTGTTTCTTATTTGTTCATCTTTAAACTTTTAAAGTTTAGATGGGTGATGTCCAAAACCTGCAGGACACCGGCCCTTGAGGTTTGGAGCTGGACACCCCTGCTTTAAGGTACTTACACTGACAAGTATAAACCACCTCCAGGTACTTGTAGGTTCCAACACAGGGGTCTCCAAATACAGAGTTGCTTGCTGAGATAGTACAGCTGTTTTTCCCATTACAACTTTGAATGCAGATAGAAAGTGAGTCAGCAAAGGGTTT